CAGGACCACTCTAGTTATAGTTTTTACTGGAAATGGTAAATATGGAGAAACACAAGAATATGAGACTGAAATCTCACACTAAGTATGACACAGGCTTTTACAAAGGCATAGTCACAAAGCATTTAATTGGAAAAAATGGAGCTGAAGTTACTATAATCAACAAATATTGCAAGGAATAGAATGTGTTTACAACATGCTTCAAACGTGAAAAATGCTGCAAGTACTCAATATTTATCATTATCGATAGAACCTTTTCAATAGAGTTCTCACACTTCAAAACCATGTTCCTTCATTCTTCTACACCTCCGAAGGGAACCATAAGAGACACCAAGCAGGAGGAAGAACTACTCAAATTTATGAAAATGAACAGTCTTCACTGTCCACCTCTTCCCTTAGAAAACACCAACGACCAGTTAGCTGTCAAGGGAGCAGATCCACACATCCTGACTGCCTCACTGCTCACAGCACATCTCCAGTCTCCCTGCTAAAGGTTTGTGCAAACCACGATTCTCATCAGTTTGGATGATTTAAAGGGACAAACAAAGGCTATGAAATATCAAAACTGTTTTACTGAAGAGTACTGTAGTTGTATGATGTCAAAAACAGTACAATTGATACAAAAGCCTTCAGAGCTGACAGGAAAACCAAAATAATCCCTCTTAGCTGGACCACAAGATGGACTGGTAGTTTCCAGCTACCAGCTAAAACTGAGGAGGAAAGTACTGTGGACAAGACATAAGAATAAGATGTCCTGTCAACTAAAACCAGGGATTTAATCAGAGCACACAGGTCCAATAGGTCTTTTGAATTTCACTCTTACATTTTCAGTTCAAAATTTGAGAGACAGCATGCCACAAAGAAAACCAGAGAATACTTCAAAACACTCAGTATTATCCTATCTTCAAAGTGGCTTCTATAAATCAGGAATCTCACCAAGAGCAGTAACATTTCAGGACAAAATCTCCTACCACTAACAAATTCCAATAGTGATGGAAACTCACAAATGAAGTCATATTAGCATAGCTGGGAATGGCTGTTACAATAAACAGAAAAAAAGCTTCAAAACTTTTTAAAGCTTTCTATTTCAGACTTACTTTTGTCAATGCATTTCTCACAGCACCCTTCTTTATAAGGAAGACTCCACAAATTGTGCTGTTAACACAGTAAACGCACACAAAGAAATCTTCAGAGTGTCGAGAAAAGAATCATTTTATTTGTTATATTATTATATATATAATATATATATATTATTCCATCCTTTAAGTTATTCCATCCTTTAAGCCAGACTATTTTTAAATCAAAACCAGTAACAAGAAAAGGAGGAGTAAGGCAGAGATTAATGTACCTCCATGCTTTTCAGCTTTATAAAGCTACTTTTATAACATTCAGGCAAATTGTACAGTGACTGACATGAACAAAATGACAGTAATCTGTCACTATTTCACATTTCCCACTAGGCTGATTCAAATAGTTATTTATGAAGCTTACACTTCAATGGGCACTTTGATGACTAAACCATAAATTAGAATGTAAAGTGAATATAAATTTGATTTTAGAGTAACAACAAATTGTCATCGAAGTGGGATATTATCTAATTTCTATCGACACGCTATGAAAAAGTCAGCAATACCAAGATGCGCTACATCATAATAAACCCCAAATTTAGCAAAAAAAAGTATACTAGATATCATCTTTGCTTCAGTGCATTGCAGTTAAAAATAAAAGCACTTTATATTATGCTTGGTTAGTTTTAAATATAAAGTCTTAATAATATCAGATGACTTCATTACTTAGATTTTCAATTAATCAGGGAGCAAGAATGAATTTTTTTCCACAGAGTATGATTAAATTTGACAGCAAGCAAATATTAATATGAATTCAGATGTTAAGGTTTTTAATAGTTCTGGTGAAAAGTTTACTTTTAAGGGACTCTTCTCAAAAATTATCTTGATAACCTAATTTTCTTTTATCAGATTATTTTCTGTTAAACAGTTCCATTGCCTGTTACATTACTCTGTGTGTTACTGTCTGTTACTCCCACAAACATGTAAGATAAATACATATACGCTTCCAAAACTGAACGCAGCACAACTATGCTTTGTCTGGAAAATTTCTAGACGTGTGACATAAAAGAGATACTTCAGCGTAAGTTTCACTGTTTCAGCAGCGTTAAAAATGGCAAGTTGTGTCAGACTCTCTTTAACATTCCTTACTTTTCAAGTGTATTTTTTGTGAAGTTCTTACAAGGAATGATTCCAAAATGTGATCCAACTTAAAACTACTTTAGCTTTGGCAGACTGGGTTTGCATGTGGTAGAAACCCCTGCAGCAGCTGAGATCTGAAACAACAAACAAACAAGCAAAACCCTGCAGGTTTAGCAATAACTGAGGCCATTCTGCATTGTTCTGCCATGTCCCAGTGACAAAGATACCCTCCAAGTAACAAACGTGTCACAGAAAGATAGGTACCTAATGATGTTTCCTTGACAATAGTTTGATTAAGATATTTGTATTAAATATAAAGATATTTGTATTAAACACTAGTTCCTATGCTTGCAAAATTAAAACACACATGGAAAGATTTTCATATTGTAAAAATGCAAATAGTGCTATTCTAGGGAACTAGAACCCTACATGCCCTTTTTGCTTCTCAACATCTTCCCAGCTGAAAAAGTCACACCTACACATAAAACATTTTAAAGCAAGATTTATGTATTACGTGGTGGAGCGAAATGTGGTTCTCAATGACTTCTCTCAGCCTTGAGTCAAGAAAGATTTCTTACTAAATTTCTTTGCCATTACTATGAAGTAGTAAAATGGGGAAAAAGAAAGTAGAAGATTAAAATGGTTCTGCTGGTATAATGAGAAGAGCAGAAACCACACTAAGAGAGAACAACAAATCTTGTCTAACCTTTTATTGCTGTCGTGTTCTTGAATGAAGAATTAAAAATGTAACATTTTTACCAGTGCAAAATACAGACTGGTATATGAAACAGCTGCCTGTTGTTCACTTACAGGCTTGTTAGAGATACGAGTGTATGTACAGGCACTTGTATATGTTTATATATGATCAAAACATTGACTAGCAACCAATGAATGCAAAATGACCTTAAACTCAACTACCCCTTTACAAAGGACAGTGAGTGGGTATATCAGCCAG